GTGCTTGATACTAGTACAATGTAGTCTAAAAAACAGAACCGTGTTAGGCCATTGGATTAGATTTTTACCTAAACTACCCAACCGTCTCAAGTGAAGTAACTAGTGACTACTAAACTGCCTGTACGAAGTGGCAAGTGAAAGTGGAACAAAAATCGCCCACTTTAAAAGAAAAAATAAATACCCCGACACTTTCCTCCCAAACGGCCTAACTTTTTCTTAATCTCTCTGTCTTTGTCCTTTTTTCCCTTTGATTTCTCTCTCTTTCTGTTACCCGAAAGCCAAGCTCTCTTTCTGAAGATCTACTGTCTCTATTTTCTGTGCTGTTGGGCGTCGATTCTCGGCATTCATTTATTCTTCATCAGGCATCACTGCATCAGCACCACTGTTGCTCAACCATTTGTTACTGTTAGACATGGAAGCTATCAAGAAGCAAGCTACCAAGCTCAGAGAGCAAGTTGCCAAGCAACAGCAAGTGGGTTCTTCTCCCTTTTTATCATTTATCCTATCCAATTCTCTCTGCTTCTGCTTTTGCTTTCCTGTTTGGTATTTTCTTTCGATTTTACCTCTCTACTCTTTATACCCACCCTTTTTTATTGCATTTCTGTTGAACTTCCAATTGTTTGCGATTGTTTCTTATTTCTTGAATCCAATTTGTGAAAATGCAGAAATGTTTCAGGTTTAGACTTTTTACTGATAAAAACAAACACACTACCACTATGCTTTTCCAATTTTCATGTCTTAGCCATTGCTATTTGCGACCTCCTATCAGGAATTCATAGATTTCTGATATTACTGTTTTCCTTTTTCTTCTTTCTAAACCCCAGTAAAAGCATACAACTTATACCCGCCCTGATGACGACACTGTCCATAGTATACACATCCAAGGGACTCCACCCAATCTTTCTTTTTCTTTTTCTTTTTTTATTTTGAGGCAAATATAACAAACATGAGAACCTTAGAGTTTATTTATCTTTAATCGTGAATTTTATTGACATCTATCTATTTATATACCTTGTAATCAATTCCAAGTTGACTTAACGAACTTTTGGATGTCGAAGGTATTTTTCACATAATATACAGTGTTAGAAATGTAAAATTTTATCTACCATTCTTTTGTTACTCTGCTTATCATTACTGATAGCACATGATATTTTTATATAAATTTATTATATAACTGCCTAGTGGTTTCATCCATTTTGGACTAAGGTATTTTTCCCCATTTACTGTTCAAATCTTCTCTTTTTTGTAGGCAGTACTTCGGCATCTTGGCCATTTTAGTAATGAAGACATAACAGTCGATGAAGCTGAGCTTCAATGTCATCAAAAGCTGCAAGATTTATACATTTCTACAAAGGCAGCTAAGGTGCATTCTCTAGTCCTTTTTCAAGCACTCATAGGGCCAACAAGATGGTTTAATTTTTAACTTCTGAATAATTTATGGGATGCTTACACTTCTATTTTTTGCTTGCAGCATTTGCAGCGGAATATTGTCCGTGGCATAGAAGGTTTTATTGCAACAAGCTCAAAGCTGCTAGAAATAGGCAAGTATGGTTGGATCTTTTACTGCATTTGGACTCCTGTATGAGGCTGATTTATGGTGTTTCACATTGAATATTTTAGCTAGGAAGTTGGCTGATGATTGTTGCAAATACGGAGCTGAGAGTCAAACCACTGATTCTTCTCTTGCAAGAGCTGCCCTTCAGTTTGGTAAGTCACATAAATTGATGGAAGATGAAAGGGAGACCTTGCTTGGGATCCTTGGTGAACAGGTAATTTCTTTCATATTTATGGATACTCAGGACTTCTTTTATAGGTTATTTGCACCTGAAATGCTCTCCCTTAGGCAATTTGTCCATTATTGTAATGAAAATGTTTGTTTGGTTCCAATGTGCCCTGATCATCTGGGTTGCATACCTGTGCTTTTACATTTCCTACCCAAATCAATGAGTTGCTATATTATGGACTGTGGTTTGATGGACTTAACATACAATGTGACCTGTTTTCTTTCCCCACTAACTTGAGATAAATACAAATGGAAAGAACATTGGTATCGTCATGAAATACAGTTGGAAATTTAGATAATTTCTGCTATTTCTTAGCTTTGAGGATTTTTCTTTTTTCTTTTTCCTTCTGTTTCTAATTGTGTTACAGGTTTCAAATATGTAGGTTTCTGAGCCATTACGGGCATTAATTACAGGTGCTCCTTTGGAGGATGCTCGGCACTTGACCCACCGTTATGACAGACTCCGCCAAGAGGTTGAAGCTCAGGTATTTCAATATTTTAAAATTTGGAGTAGACCAATTTGGACTGTTAAAGTTCTATACTGTTGGAATTCTGGTTGGTCAGATCATTGACCAGAAAAGGTCAAATATCAGAAATTTGGCATGGTCTTCTTCGCCTGCAGTCTAACTGTAATCTCTTGACCTTCTTATAATTGCATGGCCCAGCTAGTTCATTAATAGTAGTTTAATTTAGTTAACTAAAACAAATTTGATGTGCTCACTGACAGGATAATCAAATTGTTTTTTCCCTTTTTTTGTGTGTGGTGTCAACCAAAACTGTGCTTGTACCTCCTGTCTATCTCAAGCCAAAAAAATACCAATAACAAGAGACACATAAAGCAGGAGGTTTTTAAACACATAAATGTGGAAAGAATCAAATACTTTATTGACTCTTAAGTGTATAACCTTCCAAAATTTCATCATAACTTATTATATCTTTCCATTTTATTAGTAGTTTCTTTTATATATATATATATATATATA